GCCTATGCGTCACGCGTTTAATGCTTACTTTTAAAGTTTGGATGGCTTACAGCTGGGATTTGTCAACAGGAAGTAGTACACCTGGCTATTTCTAGTGTCAGTAATTGGGCAAACATGATTTTATCTCTCTGTTGTTAACAGTGCAGGGTTATTAGTTACTGCCATTCCAATGCGCTTTTGCATAAGATGCAACCACTGTGAGACCATTTAGTGATGGCAGGAATTATTTTCCCACTGCTGTGACATATCGAAAGGTGGGCTGTAAAACAAACGCCCGACAGCACAGGATGACAAATATTAACCCAATTTCAGCGTAATCGCTGCCAAAACGTAGTGTAATCGTGCAAAATCCTGACCAGCGGGTAGTTAGTAAACATTCAGCGTACAACCATGCTAACTTGCAAGAAAATTCTGGGCTAGCTGGCTCATACGATTAGCAAAGTCAGCCTGAAATCATGCACTGTCACTAAATCACTGCTTAAGTGGCTCGCATGTTTTGCTAAAATCGTGTGTATGCGGGCTCGGATTACTTGACACGCTGTTTGTCACGCAAATATGCTTGTTTTTAAAGCGACTACTGCTAGTTAGCTAAATGATAACGGGCTTAGCCGCTAATGCTAGCCGTGTGTAACTAGTAGTTCTGGGGGAGGGGAGTCGGCTAACATATATGCTTATCTTTGACAACAAGCACGCCGCTAACTTCAGCTACGGCTCCATACCTTGCAAAAGTCAAAGCAGAACGCTTCGCTGTCGCCTCGGAGTTCATCGCTTGAGTAGCGGCTAAACAAAGTCTGCAATTGTTTTTCTAGACCCTCTAACTCGTACACACTGCTCTCCTCCGCCATACTGCCTGTCTAGCCTCGCTCGTAGCAGCCAGCACACAACACATACATCGCCACAGTCAACGACTTGCATTGACAGCGCTGATTGGATACCGGGAGCGTGAAGTGACGCGCTCATTTACTAGACCAGCACGCGCCGATGGGAGGGCGGGATGCCTATGACAACTTATAGACGCCCAGTTACGCTATCTTCCCGGTAATTACGGTGCTACCAGAACACCATTACATGCGCCACAAACCACATGGCGAACACAAACATGACTTAACATTTGCGTTCACGTCCCATTTATAAGCTTGGAAAAAATTATTGTGCATTTGGACTGGTCTAACTTAAGTTTTGCTCATATACAATTTTTTACACGTCATAAGATAAGATAGCATTTATTAGTCCTATTACTACTATACAACAATAGAAAAAAATGTAAAATATACAAAGTAAAATAATTATAATTTCAATATACAATGATACAATTTGACATTTTTGAAAGATTAGTCAGAGGCGTGTGTAGAAGGGGGGCGTGAGAATCAGAATCAGAATCAGAAAGGGGTTTATTGCCAAATGTTGAGCAGGTTTACAACATTAGGAAATTGCTGCGGTGCTTCAGTGCAAACATAGTGTCATAAATAGCACTTAAATA